TGTAATCCCCATGAGCTCCGCACCTCCAGCTCACCTATTTTCTGTGCAAAGAATACTTTCGATATTTCGATCTACCTAAAACCGACCTACCTTGCTATCGTGCTGATTTGGAATGGCGGTGACGCACTGAGCGTTTTTAAAGTGCCCTGGAAGGCGGAAAGACCCCAGCAAAGGGCCCAAGTTGCAGCTTGCCATGGGGCGCTCCCCCCCTCAACCCCCCCCCAGGCGCTCTGCCGCCTCCTTCCCCCTCCCTCTGGCTAGGCTGCTTTCCTTGGGGTGGGGAAGGGGCAGGAGGAAGCCACCTGCAAAGGCCGGCACTGCCCCAGGTGTCCCCCAAGAAGCCACCGTGTGGGGGTGAGAAAGGGCCCCCCATAGGGGACCGGAAACAAGCCCCACCCCTCCTCCAAAGCCCTGCCTGATGGAGAAAGTCCATGGTGAAATCACCTCACTTACAAGCTTGAACACAAGGAGCTTACCAACATACCACCCCCACCCGCCCACAGTGCAAGGAGCACTATATATATGCAAATGTTGTATGGGGGGGCAGGCTGGAAGTCCCCCAGAAAGGCAATGTCAACAAACATAGGCCTTCATGGCAAGTTTAGCTTGCCCAGGACCACGCGGACCACTGAGAGGATCAGCTCCAGCAGCCATCAGCACATGGGTAAGGTGCAGGCTCGGCATCTCTACACGCAGCACGCCCGATGGCCCCATGAGTCTCTGACTCCCGCGGACAGGAGTCAGGCCCTGCGTGCCCGCTGTGAGCGGACGCTCCTGCCTTCCCCTGGGCACCAGCTTCCTGGCAACTGGGTCTCAGAGTCCTGTGAGAAGCCCAGCTCCGAGGAAGGGCGTGTGCAGGGTCAGTTCCGACGCCTGGGGATGGATGGGGAGGCCCCCGGCAAGTTCTTCCCTTCGGCGGGCCCTTCTCCCGGTCACAGGAAGAGCCACTTCCAAACACTTCATTCTTTCTGCATTATTAGGTGCAGCCTCAACAGCAGGTACCTGGCCAAGATCTGGGGTGGGAAGCACAGGTGGGAATTTCCTGCAGGGCACATAAGTCAGCAGGAGAAATGGCCAAGTAAGCTGGTAAAGGGACGACAGCGAGTCCCAGCCTGTGCCGGTCACACAGGACAGGCACGGCCCTTTCAAAGGAGGCAGGGTCCTCCAGCCTTGTTCGTCCACATAAGCCCAGGCATGTACTAAGCACCTGCTGCGTGCCAGTACTGTCCTGGTCTCTGTGCATATGGGTGTTGACCAAGAGACAAAACTGGCTCGGGGGCCTCCCCTGGTGGGGAGGACTGTCCACTCTAGCACTTCCAGGTTGCTGGGGAGGAACCGCACTGGTTTCTGCTCAGGGCGCTATGCCTGAGTTGGGGGCATGGACAGGTGCCAGCGGGGCACCTCGAGCTGCTCACACACAGGACTCTGCTCAAGGTCATACCCCGAGGAGCCAAGCGATGGCCTCCTGGCCATGCTTCGCTCCCCTTGCCCCGAGTCGACCCCAGGCACCCGTCCTGCTCCCTTCCTCCTCCTGTCCTTTTCTCTCCCGAACTCCACCAGGCTGAAAGGGACCGCTCCCAACTCCCGACTTGACTCACCGGAAAATGAGGTAGAGACACTTGGCCGTTGGCTTTGACGCTGCGATGCATTTCTCTCTGGAGCTGTTTCTTACTCCCCATGCGATAAGGAGGGATCCCATCTCTAAAGCGAGGAGAGGACAGACATCACACTCAGGGGTCGTGAGGAGGCTGCTGGCACAGGGCTGACTCACAGCCATGCCGAGACCCACCAGCTGCTGGGCCGCACGCCTCCCGGGAGTCACCCCGGCCCAGGCGCCATGACTGCTCCCATGGGGAAAGAGCAGTCCAAGGCCAGATTGCCACACGTCCTGCCCATCCATCATCTCCAAGCCTGGCTCCCTCTCAGACATAGGAATGTCAACTTGGAGAGGGCCCACATCTGGAGCTGTGGTCCTAGGGCCCTGGCGAAGGCTCCCAGGTCACAGGTGCGTCCAGCAGGAGATTATCCAAGCTGTCCTCTTTTCGACCTGTGCCGGCCACGACAAACCGCCCTGTGGGGCACACCAGGGACAAGTGTTTCGGTACTGGGACTGACCCCAGAGGGCAAGCCAGGTGCTGGGGAAGGTCAGGAGGATTCTCCCACAGTCCCCCTTTTAGTCGCTTCTGCCTACCAAGCACTCTTTCCTTCCCTGAGCTCCAGAGCCTTCTGCAGCCAATGAATCCTCAAAGACAAATGACCCATGTGGCATACAGAGAGCCCCCTACTATGCGTCGTTCCTTGAAATATTGAGGGCCTACTATGTGCCAAAGCGATGTTCTAAGCACTGAGCAAGAGACAGCCAATGAAGGGATCAAAATGCAATGGCTACTGTCTGCGTGTGTATCCTAGTGGGGAGGCACAATGAGAAAAACAATTAAAAGCCAAAATCTACAGTATGTGAGAGGGTGGTAAGGACTACAGTATGGGGGAGGGGCCCCGGGCGTGCAAGATGGCCACAAGTTAATATGGGGGGGCCATGAAGTGATCCTGTGAAGGCCAAGTTGGAGCAAAGATCTGGGGTGGTAGGGGACCCTATGTCCTTCATCATATTAAAAATAAAGCTAGTGGAAAAGTTTAAGGAAAAAGCCTCCATTCCCACCGGTCTTCACTAAAAACACGACCTGGAATTGCTATGATATTTTGAAAGAGTTTGTTCCTGAAAGCAGTTGAATGGCAAAGGTGTGACCCTACCCTTCCCATGGGTGTCCCTTCTGGAGGCCACTTACTACCCAGAGTCTCAGGGCTCAAACATTCCCACACTGAATCATCCTCGGAGGCTGCAAATACTGAAATTATTGGGCCGATTCCTTTTGCCTGGTGCTCGCTCATCGGAGGGTGGAAGGAAGGGAAATACCTTTGGCTCATCAGCTGTGGGTGGAAATCAGCACTGCCTAAAATACCTGGGCGCGCCCAGGGTCACCTGGCTGACCTCCCAAACCTTATCTGGAATGACCTAGAATCGTCAGTAGCTGCCGCTCTCCGGAAGTCCACTGACCTAGGCCAGAGAATGGGGCCGTTGAGGGGAGGGCACAGGTCACGGTATCTGGACAAGCCCATCCGTGTTTGCCAGACCTTGGCTGGGCACATGGCAGGCATGGTGGAGGGCCCAGGGGAGAAGAGAGCAACACTGGGTGCCCCATCCCGGGGGACAGCTGGCCAGCGGACTGGGCCGACAGCCACGTGGGGGCCAGACAGCTGACCTCACAGGCCAGGCGGGATCCAGGTTCTCTGCCCAAAAAAGCCACCTGCAGCTTATCTGCCAAGACTCAATGTTTTCACCGTGGGAGCGTTTCCCAAATGCCAGAGAAGCCCAGCTCCCACCAGCACGCCTGCCCGGCCCGGCCAGCAGCCAACTTCTAGCCGGAGTGACTGCTTTGGCACAGGCGGCAGCCCCGCAGGCAGCCTCCCGGTGCGGTGCACAGGCCTGGCGCACCAGCTTCCCCGCAGCCTGGTCGTGGGGGGCCATAGCCCCCAACATGCTCAATGGGTCAATGAGATTTGGGGGCTCTTCTGGAACGCCCTCCCCATCACACACGGGGTGTGCCAGGCGGTTCCCAAGAGAGAGGAAGTACCCCATTCTCACCTAAGCTTTGGGGTGTGGGCTCCCATAGACTGGTCTCCTGTTGGCCTGTGCCGCTGCCCACCACCGTCGTGTCCAGACCACCTTGTCCCAAGCGGCAGCTCTGCCAGGGACACTTGGGGAGAGTTGCTGGCTCTGCCCTAAGCCTCTTCCCAACAATCCTGGGCACAGGTGTCAAGTAGCCAGTGGACCCCAGGAGACCTGGCCACCTCTCTAAGGCTCTGTCCTCATCAGTGGTTAGACTTTCATACTTTTTTCTTTTTCCATAGAAGGCAGGAGAAAAAGAATGGGAGGAGGTAGGTATACAGACATGAAGGTGGGAGCAGGGAGCAGGTCAAGCACCCCCAGCCAAACAACACCTGCCGGCTGCCCTCGGGGCAGGTTGAGCGGCCAGGGGCAGGAAACCCGATGGCCAGAGCAGAGGGGAGCCCAGGGCTCCCTGAGACTCGGGGAGGCTTAACAGTCGCCTTAAGGAAATGTGGTTTCCATTCCACTTCCTCCCCAAGCCAAGAATCTTCTTCCAAAACAGCCCCTCATTCCAGAAGGGGGCCTCTCTTCTTTTTATTTAGCCTCTAAAAGTCTATGATCAGTTTCCTGGCTGCTCAGAACTGTGAGCTGAAGAGCGCCAGAGCCTGGGTGCTTCTCGGTCGCCTTTAATTATAAACATTTTAGCTAACGAGAGCCCGCTGCCTGGCCCGGCTGTTTCTGGGGAGCGCGGGTTTTGAAGTGTGGACTCCACTTAGCCGCCATTTAAGCCGAGCCAATTAGCTCAGCCTTTTGCCTCCACCGCGCCGCCGAACCTGAGCTGCGCTTTCCGGGCGCTTTGAAAGTGCAGACCCCGCGCATGCGCCCAGGCGCGTGTGGGGCGGGCGGCTGCTCCCAAGGCGGCCTCTGACCACCACCGACATCAAACGCCTGGTTTGTACGATAAGGTGATATTTGAAGTTCGCGCAGATGCTCTCCCTGGGGTCCAGAGCCAGCCCATCAATAAGACATAAGGGAATAAAAATAAAGAAGCCGGCGCCACACTGCGGGGGCTGCACCTCGCATGGATTTGGGGGCACCCAGAGCATAGACCACCTATGGGGGCAAGCTGCTCCCCCTAGCGCAGAAGAGGCCCCTGGCAGGCGACTGAGCCCCACTATCCCTGGCTTCCCCATGGGGCGGCTACACTCGGGCCCCAAAGACCCTGTCCTTTCTGACATTTGGGGGTATGAGGAGCCCGGGTTTCATCCTCCAGGGGCTGAACCTGGAAATGTCCCTGTGCAGCCTCCCAACACACCAAGCATTGGGGTTTACAGGCCGTTGCTGCAAGTCTGGTAGCTGACTTTCCAGAAAAAAAAATAAATAAATAAAAAGCCATTTCTTCCGAGAAGGCATGTTTCAGGGTAACAGGCTCATAAAACTGCTTTCTCAGAGGCCTACTACGAAGACCCAAACCCCAGCCATCTTTTAAAGGGCTTTTTACTCCACGGGACAGCAAGTCAGCAGCGGGCTTTGGGAGAAGGCAGTGGTGGCCTCACAGCCCCCCCAGCCCGGGAGCAGCTCCCCGGAATCATGGCGTACAGGGCCCTGGCCCACTCCCATCCGGGCCGCCTGGCCTCTTGCGAAGGCCCCGGGGACTTCATTGGTCTGTCGCAAGCGAGACGATAGCTTCCCCGGCTTGTGTCTAATGAACTCCAACCTTCTGGAGTCTATTGAGGGCCGCCTGTGACCCCCTCTCCCTTTCCGGGCTGGGCTGGCTCTGCCCCCCACTCCCAGCAGCCCCGCCCTGCCTGCTCCCAGCCCCACCGGCCATTGTGACCAGGAGAAACGGCCAGGGCCCTTTTCATGCTTTATGGGGCGCTCCTATTCACGTGTTCAAGGAAATTTCAAAGGGGCCTGCTACCCTCTTATCCCCTCTAAGCTTCCCCAGATGAACAATGGGCTGAAAGCGATTCAGTTCGGCTTTTCATCCCCCACATACTTTATTTCTCGCTAGGCTCTCTTATCTGTGCGAGGCCCACAATTGGCAGAGCTCTGAAGAGGGGTCCAGTCCCAGCCCTGGGAATCCCAGGAAACCAGCCTGACCCCGGGCACACCACATGCACCCCGGGCCAGCTGACCAGAGGGGGTAGGCTTACCCAGGGCTGGCGGGCAGGAAAGCAGGGAGGTCCCCACAGACCCCAGGGCGGGCACCCCAAGACAGCCTGAGCTGCAAAGGCACCTCTAAGTCCAAACACACATCCTTCTACTGGGCCCTTGGTCTGGAGACCCTGGATCTTCCCCCATAGGTAGCATGAGGCAAACTTCCCTGGAAAGCACCTCCCAAGGGTGGACACACCGAGACCAATGAGCCAGGCCCCCAGCTGCATAAACATGTGGGGCAGGGCCCCCCTGGAATGGCTGGCTGAGAACCTGCCCGCGTGGGAGGAGGCTCAGAGCCACCCCTGGGTCTCTGAGTGGCTCGGTATCTCCTGGCACCTCCACCCTCACCCAACCCCTAAGGGGGCCGACAAGGGCCCAAGGGCACCCCCCGTGTCCTCTCCTGTCTCCGCATCAAAAGTAAAAGAAACTCGGAGCGGCCCTAAGGCCTCCTGTCCGCCGGCCTGTTCCCACAGCAAGGGAGGGGGGTGGGGAGGGGCCCTGACGTGGCTGACTGGTGGGAGGCCGGGCCTCCCTGCCTCACCTGTGAGTCACAGGGAGCGCCCGCCCCTGGACTGGGCCTTGTGAGGCTCAAGCAGAAACGCTGATGGGGACTACACCCATTATCTCGCCCCAGCCCAGAGAACACTTCAGTGATGCCGACTGACATGCAGGCAAGTGCCAGGAAGCCAGAAATAGTCTCTAAGAAAACTAAACAGACGCTTCTGGTCTCTAGTAAGCTCCACTTGACCAGGGAGGCTCACTCAGTGGCCTCGCTGCATCCAACTCACGCTTACTGTATGCAGAATGCTAACATGCCCCCTGCGCTCCACAAGTTGACACAAGCTGGCATGATGCTGGAAAGGCAGCGGCATGACACAATGGCAGCGGCCAAGGACGGAGAGACAAGGGAAAACCACTTTTTAAAAAGTGGGGGAGGGGCAGGCCAGGTGACGTCTCCTGTGCCTTGAGCTCACCCCACAAAGTGGCAGGCAGACACCCCTGGTCTGAATTATTTGCCCAAGAAACAAACTGTGCCTTGTCTGGATCTGTTCAATACAGACCAAATGTAACTGTTTCGAGGATTCCATCTGCCCAAGGATCACTTTTTCCAAGTCTGGCCACTGAAAGCCCTCTCTGCCTCACATGGGGTGAGAGGTGTGTGGCCTCCCGATGCTATAATCCTGCCAGAATGGAACGTCTCACCCTCAGGATCTCTCTGCCTTTACTAACAAGGGGATCTGAGGTGACCCAGGGGAGCCAATAGTGGCGTCCCACACCAAGCACAGGCCAAGCCGGGCACTGGCCAACTGAAACCAGATCATTTCAAACAAACTGGGAGAACAGACAGTTGGGTTTAGGAAGCTGAGAGGAGCCAGCGCTAAATGGGCGAGCGGAGCCAGGACCCACACCGCTCAAGGGCTCGCCTTTCTGGCGGCTCCCTTCGCAGGAGTCGTTCCTCGTCCAGGACATGTGTGGAAGAGTCTTCAAAGACTGTTTGGGGAACGAGGGTTCCTCAGTGGGAGCTGGAGGGAGGTTTGGGGGAGTTTCTGCCAAGGCCAGGCTCCCCCTCCCGTACGTCCCCTGAATCAGAATCTCAAGGGAGGTTCAGCAGCAGCAGCAGCACCACCACCCCTCGTGTGACCTCTAGAGCTCAAAGCATGCCACTGCCCACAGGGTGCTGACCTCACACCACCCTGGGCCTCACCACGCTCTCAGCAGCCAAAGCCGACCGCATGCAAGAGCTGAGACCAGGACCGGCTGGCCAGAGACTCCACCTGACCCGGGCCGGCTTGCCGCCCGCCCCAACACTCACTGTGGGACATGGCACCAGCACATGTCCTCGAAGGCGTCACACACTGTGGGGCCCGGAGGACGCCGAGGTCCTTCAGGGACAATGAACCCTATTGACCCCCGTCTCCCACCTGTGGGCTGGGCAGGTGGCGCTGTGGGCAAACGGGCCAGTTCGTCCTGTCTGTGGGGAGGGCTGGTGGAAGGACAGCCAGAGATGGGAATCTAAACTCAAGGACGCGATGGGCAGTCACCTGAGCCGTCGACCTCACCTCAGTTTTCTTCTGCTCAGGCAGCACCTGACTTTCTTCCCAAGGCGCTAAGTGGACCAGAAACCAGACTGTGACCCTCTGAGGTCAGCACAGCTCCGCTTCCCTCCCAGCACACAGGTGCGGGGGCCCGGTGAGGACGGCCGAGGCTCAGCCCAGCTGGCAGTGGGTCCCCTGCCGACCAGGATACTCACACGCTGCTGTCCGTCATGGACATGGAGTCGTCCGTCAGCGCGTCGCTGGAGATCTCGCTGTCATTGGCGCTGGTGGCCGGCGCGAAGACGTAGCCGGAGCCCACGTGATAGGGATTCGCGGGCTCGCTCCTCTTGAAGGACCTGCAGGAGAGGACAACCGTGGTGTGGTCCCCCACCGGTGCCAGAGACCCAGGGCCACAGGTGACCACCCGGGGCGCAGCCCCAACTGCTCCGTGCCACCTGCTGCCTGGGACAGAACATGGGGACCAGAAAAAAGGGGGGCCTTCTGAGCTCCCAACACACCTTAGGGGAAAGCCAGCTGGGTTCTCTGCCCCAAAGGGGTCCCGCCCAAGACAGAGGAGCCCAGAGGCAGCCCCAGGTGGGGGCTCCAGGGTTCTGAACTCACTTTGGCACAGAGAAAGGAGCGGGGTTCTGTTCTAGAGGGAAGGCTGGTGATGGAGGGGGGATATGAGTCAGTGGGGATGAGGAGTCGTCCTCCTCCTGCCCAAGTACCCAAGTCTGCACCAGAACACAATGCTGGGGGCGCAGGACACCTGAAGCACCCCGATCCCGTCTGTTTAGCACCATCATGAGGTGCAAACAAGGAGAGTGGCCTTCTCACTTCAACCTGGGCCCACGGTGAGCTGGACAGAGGGGGCAGGCATTGCCGGGCCCTGCCCCCAGGCTGGCTTGCCCTCCCCCAGGCTGGTGGAGGCCATGGGGATTGAAATGAGCAGCACAGCTGTTTCACAGGCAGGCCAGGGCTCCTCCTCCAGGGTCTCCTGCCCTTTTGTTTCAGTGGCCTCTGCCTCCCCATTTTGGCCTCTTGATCTCCTCGCAGAACCACCAGTGTGCCTGTCCCCTGCTGGGCTGCATTCCTCTGAGTCACCAGCCAGAGACTGAAGGGGGTGGGGAGGAGGAGGAAGGGGCCACTGTGGTCAGCTGGCTCGGGAAGGAGCCTGGAAAGACCCTGGCCTACTTCACCGGGTCCACCAAACCCAAGCCAAGGGCAAAAGAGTCAAATGGGTGGGAAGAGACAGCCTCGGGCCATGTAGCTATGAGACTGCCTGGGCCAGCAGGCCAGAGGGCCCAGAAAGAGAAGGAGGCCGACTCCACCCAGCTCCGATTCATCGCAGTCTGTCGTACCCAGCCCAGGTAACCTGGCACCTGTGCCAGACATGTCACCAAAAGGGGAGGGGGGCGCCAGGGAGGTGGACACAGGGTTATCATGGGTCCACAGAGGGCCAGGCCTGCCCACACATCCCCTGGTCTCATCCTCGATGCCTCCTGGGGGAGGGGCCCTGAGCCCACTTGATGGGCCTGCTGCGGCGCACCCCCCACCCCACCCCCGGCAGGGGCAGGAACTAGGGCTCGCCAGGTGGGTGCCAGGTGGGTGCGTGGGGCAGCTCGCACACAGCCTCCGAAGGCAGAGCGAGTGTCCGGCTTTATAAGGTGCTCAAGAATCCGAGGCAGGAAGGGCCCTGGGGTAGGGAGGCCTGGTCCAGCCTTGCAGAAGGCGGTTCTGGCTGAAAGGAGGGTCCCTGGGACAGACTGGACAAGGCGAACCCAGAGGTCAGAACTGAGACAACACCCAGGCCAGGGGGAGCGGTGGCGAGCGCCCCACCCCAGGCTGGGGCGGGGGGGAGGGTGCCAGCAGGGAGCTACTGGTGCAGGGCCTCCTGAGCAGCAAAAGGGGATGAAGAGATGGTCCGACTTCAGAGCCGGCCAGGAAAGCGACAGTCCAAGTCCTGACCTTCCAGAGTCAGAGGCGCCTCGGGAACAACGATCTAAGCAACCAGACCCCCAGTCTGGACATGTTAATAAAGACCAGGAGCCACCACTGACGGAGCGGGCAGGTCTTTGCCTCTCCCTGCTGCTGCAGCCCCAGGAGCCAGAAGGTGCTCAGTGAACACCTGCGGCCAGTCGTGTCCTCCCTCCCTCTCCACCACCTGAGCACCTCACGGAGCCCAAATGGGGCTAGTCTTGTAGGAGGCCACCCTCTGTAGACTGTGCCACCCGAAGCCCCTCTGGACTGCCAGAGGGCTGGACACCAGGGGGGACCGGGACTCCGTTCCACTGTGCAGGCGGGAACATCGAGCCAGATGCTCAGACTGTCACAGAGACGTGGAGACTGGCGACATAGGACGCGGCGCTTGGGCTTGTCCACACCTGGACTGGCCCAGTGCCTGGGCAGGGACTGGAACTGTCCCTGGCAGCTCCCTCGAGTGTGCAGAGGGAGGACGTCTCACCACTTCCTCGGTGAAGTCCTGCTAAGAAATCAGGACAATCGGGAGGTGAGCTCTTGCACTCCAGGTGACTAGCTAGGCCCATGTCCTCCAGGTGGGACTGCCAGACCCCAGGGCTGGAGAGAGGACAAGAGCCGCAAAGGCAGCTGGGAGGGAGTGAAGGATGGTTCCAGAAAGACATCTCCTCGCTGCCGAGGAAGGCCCTGCTCACTCCTGTTCACCGAAGGCAGAACGAAGCGGCATCAAGAGTCGAAGCACAGGCCCTTCCCCATGCTCAGAGGACTGGTGGTGTGGAGGATGCAGGCCATGGCCTGTCTGTCCACAGCCTTAGTGCGCCCAAATTTCTCAGCTATGTGGGGCACTGCACCCTCAAAACAGGATGGAGAGGACAGCACCCTATCGCAGGGAGCAGTGGTACGCATGTCTGGGAAGCCTGTGCAGATGCAACAGCCTCCGAGGATCAGTGCTGAGCCAACGCGTGTTCGGTGGGTGTTCGCCAGGCCGAGGGCATCGCCAACTGAGAAGCACAACATCTGACAGGCCACCTGCCTGAGGCACCCCTAGCGGCACCGTAACTTGGGGGAAGATCACAGTAATATGCCAAAACCCCAACCACGGCCAACAGGGGTGGGGTCCTCTAGACTGAAGCTCCCCGAAGACAGGAGCCAGGTCTGTCCTCTTCACCTGAGCCTCCCCAAGGGGGTGTGTGGGGGGGGGCGCAGGGGGAAGCTCAGACCTCCCTTGAGCCCCTTGGAGGCCAGGACCATCCCTGGTGGACTGAGACGTTGCTTAATGGCAGCCTTAAATAGCAAACTCCTCCCACCTTCAGCGCGTGGCATTAACAGTGTCCCATATGTGAGGGCTGTAATTCGCCCTCCACAGGGAGAAAATGACTCAACAGAAAGGCCTCCCGCCCCAACAAAACAGCACACCTCGCTCACGCCCCAGTGTGCTCGGCGCTCCTTGTTTTGACACATGGATCCCAAAATAAACCCGTCTCCCTCCACTTCCAAAATAGAGGGCGACTGTGTGGCCAGTAATTAAACATGGGCGAGAAGGCCCTGGCGCTCAGCTGACGGCCGTCGGGTACCAGGCGCTTCTAGCACTCCGGGCTGGCTGGGCAGGGGAGGGCGGCGGCGGGAGACCGCATCGCCACCAAGAGCCCACCACTGTGTCAAAATCGCCACCTAATTTTTAAGAAAACGGATTAGTGCTATTTTCTTGTGATGACTTGGGGGGGGGGGGAGAGGAAAGAAACTCAACCAGGCCACGGTAATTGTACCCAGATGCTTTGATTACTTCTTCAGGACCCTGCACTCCCAGAGGCTGGGGGTTTTGAATTCCCACCGAGGAGGCCTGTGGGGCGCACTCCAGCCCCACTGCACCCCCAGGCCCAGCCACAACTCCCACACGCGGGCTCTCAGCTGTCAGGCAGCAGAGGCTCCGCAGCCCTTAAGGGTCAGTCGGGGTCCCCCCCCACTTTCCTCTCTTATCTTGATGAGATGTAGTGGCCCCTGCCCCCTGCCCTCCCAGGAGGGCACAGCCAGCACCAAGAGTGGACAATGGGGATGACCTTTGGGGTCTCTTTCTGGTCCCCTCTCAAAACAATGCAACTTACTAAGTTATGTGCTCCTCAGACCCTCTGACAATTTACTCACAGTCACCGCCCACAAGGCAAGGCTCTCTTCCTGAGCTTTTCGAAGGCAAGATCAAGGGGCCTGGGACTGGGGAAGAGGGGCGGGGAGGGGCCTCAGGAAACCAGACGAACATCCACATGCACCCTGCGCACTGCCATGCTGAGTGTGGCCCACTGCACCCAGCATCATTTTCGTGGATAATTGTAGCCAAGCTCGACTCCAATGGCTTCGCACAAAAACGGGCCTCATCAGCGAGTTCTTTCAGGCAACAGGAAGCCCGGGAGCCAGCAGAGGGCCATCTGCTGGGCCAGGCTTATTTCACGTGAGGCCCCAGCCCAGGCCTGATGCAGGAGCAGGAGACCAACCGGCTGCGCAGGAACACACAGGGCTGGCAGGGGCGGGGGGAGCAGGGAGGGCTCTGTACACCCAACCCTGTCTCCCCCTTCCCAAAATAAATGCCAGGCTGATGCCTGATCCCACACACCCCCTTCACCCCCCTCCCCAACACACCTCCACTTGCTGGGTGAGTGTTTGTGTGCTGCGGGGTTTGTATGGCCTCACGGGCAGCAGGTCACTCCCGCAGGTTATTTAGAGAGCCCAGCGGAAGTCAGGCACCCCACTCCACCATTTGCTCACGAGAGTCCCTCCCTGCCTGGATAATGCCTGCTCTTCCGTCCCAACACCAAACGAGTAAGGACACAAACAAGTCATTAAAGATGAGGCCCCTTGGAGGGCCCAAGGGGAGCACAGGGCTGGGGGGGTCAAGCTGGTGCTCGAGGTACCCGGCTGGCCAGGGGGACTCTCAAGGGATGACACAGGGGTCCGCTCCACGGACTCAGATTTTCTGTCTCGTTCATTTCAATGCTAACCGACTAATAAGCCCACCGCAAAGGCAGGGCACTCTGGTACCAGGGGAGTGGCAGGGCTTCACGAGGAAGTCACTGGGCAGACAAGTAGAGAAAGACGAGGCACAGGATGGGGGCCACTTTACGGATTTACCAGGAACATGGGTTAAACATAAGAGTCACTCTCTGAAAGTGATAACCCGACCTGGTTTTGCCCTCCACACGCCTGATTATTATCATCATTAAGTTACACTGATTAAGGTGCTTGACGTCTGCTCAAAACATTTCCCTTCACCAAGAGCTTTCATGTTTATTATTTTGATCCTAATAACAACCTTTGACATAAACAGAAGGGATGGTGCCCACTCACTCATTCCACAGGGGGGCTGGAAAGGCTTCAATCCAGGAAGCAAGCGGCGGACGGGCTCCCCCCACACAGCACACATACACTTGAGTATCTTTCATGTTGAGAGAAAATTTGAATCAATTGTAAAAATGGTCCTGACAAGACCAGGAAAGACACGCGGGCTTCACGTGCTGCAAGTAAAATACTTGGTTTCAACCCAATGGTGGGAGGAAGCACACAGGAGTCTAGTTTGGACACTTGGTGAGAGAACGAAGCAAAGCAGTCACCTGTACATCAATGGGGCCCACGGTCCACCACCGGGAAGACAACAATGGGATCCAGCGGACTGTGTTGGCACCTGGCTCCGGGATCTCAAACGCGTGGCCAGAGCAACAGACAAGGTGACTGCCGGAATACCCTGGCTGAGAGCTCTGGAAAGGGCCGGGTCACAACAAGGTTCCACTGTCCACCCACAAAGCGGAGGGGCTCTGCAGGGTCCCGCATGGGGAGGGCTTAGGATTTACGGATGACATCCCAGGCCACCCAAGCCGTAGGTGCTACTGACAAAGGTGACACTTTTGGTCCCAATACTGGGAGACACAGAAGCCCCGCTGGAGAAGTCCGCTGGCAAAGCAGACTTCCCACAGGCCCTAAGTGGTCTCGGTTGTCCAATGGAGAGGAATCCAGCTGAGGTTTACCCAAATGTTCACAAAATGCAGCAGGCCGTAGTGACAGGTATCCAGTGACTGCCCAGCCACAAAGGCCAAAGCCAGTATCACCCTCCAAACAAGCTGAAACCATAAGCTTAAAGATGCGGAAACACTCTTTTGCTTGATCCTAGTCTTCCCTGCAAAAGCCAATCAGAGGCCACCTAGGGGTAGACCAGATGTCTTGAGTGTGGGTAGCCAGATTCTGAGGCAATAAGTGCGCCCCCTGGTGGCTAGAAAATAGGTCCTTCCCTGGCTGGCGGCAGTCAGCTTCCACCACTCCTAAACTACCCCACCCCCACCCCTTTAAATTCAGGGCTGGCTACCTGGCCTCAGAACCTCCTTCCCAAAGAGATACCTGGAGGACCGACACAGAGCAGGCAATCTCCAGAGATCCCCTGTCCCCAACACTTGGAGAAACACACAATGAATAGCCCTTCAGATAGCAATCAAGGGGGCCCAACTCCAAACTAGAATTTTTTTCTTTTTTTAAAGATTTATTTATTTATGCATACAGAACCCCGGGTACAGGCCAAAGGTGAGGGGTGGTGAGAGGATTCACCAGAGTGGGGAGCAGAACAGGCAGATGGATGAAGTACATGCTGAAGTACTCCGGGGGGAGCTCAAAATTGCACTGAAGCAGCTGCAGCCAGCTTGCAGTGCTGTGCCCTAACTCGTTGCACCACCAGGGAGGGCCCCCCAAACTACAATTTCTAGGCCCATTCTCTTTTTGATATTCAGAAGGGGAAAGAGAAACTGAAAAACTCATTCTAAGCCATGGCCTGAAGTTGCCTCCAAAGGTCAAGAATCTTAAGACTTGGAGGGCCAAGTCGTTTGTCTTTAAAGCCTCGAAGGGAGAAAGGTTTCCAGGGTCCCAGTCCTCTCTGGCCACGCCTCCTTCTCCACCAGGACTAAGCAACACAATAATCACTGTGGTCTGACCTACAGCTATGAGCACTTAAAGCCCAATACGCTAGGTGTGCACATGCTACGCATATTTACCTCTCTGCAGACACACACACTTATACACCTGTATCCATATATTACGTGTGTTAGGAAGCACAGCAGCAGTCTCGAGACCTAAGGGTCCCGCGTTCTGAAGCCACATGGCCTTCCCAAGTTAGGAGATAGCCTTGCTGAACAAACACTAATTCTACAAAGAGCATCACAAGCGCAGTTGTTAAGCCAACTGCTCTTATCACAGCATCAAAGTTCAAAAGGCCCCACGTACCCCCATGTCCAAGGGTGCACACTACTTCCTGGGCCTCCAGCAGGCCCCAGCAGCCCCCGTGGCCACGTTAATTCCACTCTACTGATTAGTGGTGAATGACCCCTTCCAAACCAGCCCTTAGTGTATCTGGTGACTCAGAGGCATCAAAAGCTTCTGTCCTCCTCTCAACCCCGTCTCAGGCTGCCCGGGATAATGAGTAACCCGCATTCAGGAATACTGCTGGCCACTGTTTGAAGTCAGCTCTGGCAGACTGCGGGTCTTTAGCTGTGAGCAGCACTTTCCCCCCTTAAACAAGGGGAGAACAAGATCAAAGGGTTCACGGCCAGTGGTCCCAGCTCGGGCAGACCCTCGTCAGCCCAGGCAGCACATCCATCTACCCCCCAGCCCCCCACTCGGCTTAACTCAAAACATCTGCAAGCCCAGCTCATCCTCCCACTGCCGCCACCGAGTCTTACCTGTAGCCATGTTCAGCAGCCTCCGCGGACCGCACACTTGCTGTTGCCCTCAGAGTTTTGCTGGACAAGCCAACCACAGTGGGTGAAAGTTTGCACTTGAAGTCGGCACAAGTCCACTCCTCCTCTTCATTCAAGGTGGGGAGGTAGCCACACACAACCTTCAGGCCCCCCAGTCCCCCGTTACTCATGTAGGCCGTGTTTTCTCCCCCACTCCTCAGGTATTCGAGGTATATATCAGAAGTCAAAAACATCTGGTAGGCATTTTCCTCCATCACCGCCTGGATCTCGGTCTGTGCCTGGTCAAACATGATGGAATCGATCTGCTGCTTCTTGATGCCATCGCGTATGTAGGTCTTGGTGGCGGGTTTCAGCTGCCTGGAGACAATGCTGTTGTTCTCGATGTACCTTTTGTAGATTGCTTTGGCTACTCGTAAAGTTTTGGTATCCTTCAGGTTCATCAGCCTGAATCCATTGCAGGCAAACCAAAAGTCTAAGGTATCCACGCATTTCTCCTGCTCCAGGAAAGTCCGGAAGAGGTAAGCACCGTCTTGATCGCCCAGCAGGGACAGCAAGGACTTGGACCACCGGCTCAGCGGAGAGTCTGGAGATGCCCGCCCCTCGGGCTCCCCGAGCCCATCCTCGTTGCGCCTGGCGTTGGAGGGCACAGGGACGGGTTGGGCAGCCGGGCCTTTTCCCACCCCAGGCTGGCAAGGCGGGGTCTCCCCTTCCTCCCCGGGAACCGGGGGTCGCGGGGCATCCTCGCGGAAGCTGCTGCTGGGGTCTGGGAGGCGAGGCACCAGCACGGCGCTACTCATGGTGAGAGAGTTCTTCTGAGTTTGGGGATTTTTTTTCTTCTTCTTCCAGTTCCTCTCAGCAGTCAGCGTGGTCTCTCTTTCTCTCAAGTCAGCAGGGGCTCATCTGAGCCTCCTTTCTGGAAAAGAAAAGGAAGGGGGGAGGTAGGGAGAGAGAAAAGGGTATTGATCTAATCAAAACCAGATCTACCCAACATCAAAGACAGAAAGTAAACAGGCTTTTCAACTCCTCAAATTCAAATCAAGCAGCCCAGCTATCTGCGAGGTGCTCATCTAAAGTATCACTCGCAGCTTTTCCGAAGGTGAAATCCGAGCTCCCGGCACCAGGGGGTGGTGTGGGGGAGGGGAGGGGAAGGTGAGAGGTGGGGGCGGAGGGGCGTCGGCGTCGCCAGACCTAACCTTCCCCAAGCCCAGTGGGCTCCAGAGCCGGCAGGGCCGCTTGCGCCTCGCCGCTCCCCTCCCCGGCCCCCTCCCCCGATAGCATCAGCCCCAAAGACGCGCTCTGGACCCGCTGGGCTGCGCGCAGGTGAAACCAATTTTGGTAAATTTCCCCACTCGGCTCCGCGCGCAGATAACTCAGCTCCAACGTGCCCTCCGCCTGCATCTGGTTCCCATTCCCCCCTCCCCTCGGCACTCCCCCTTCCCACTTCTTAAACATTCAGAAGATCCTCATCCCATAAAGAAGCCCGCCCAGCGCAGGGCGGAACGGGCTCCCGGACTCCCAGCTGGAAAACGCGCCCCCCACCCCCGCAAACCAGATGTAAACGTTTGCCGCGCCCCCACCTCCCGCCCTCAATCCGACTCAGTCTACACCTCTGCCTTCCCGGCTCCCCGAAACCAGAAATCTACTCGCTCAGACGAGCCTTTGATCTCCAAACTTTGCGAGGGAGCAAAGAAGCCTCGGGACCCGCCGCCCCCGTCTCCCCCCACTCCACGTCCGGGAGCCGCAAACCCTACAAAACCGGATCAGAAACCGTCTCACGCTACCACTGGCTGTGCCCCAAATCCCAAACTCGACTGATCTCGAGCCTGTCTCCTTTTTCCCAAAAGAAATGTCTTATCTCACCAATAAACAAGCCGCTTTCCCTAGCACAGAAAAGATCAAACTAGAGAGCGC